TCGGTCTTAAAAATAACATTTTCAATTAGAATTACTCAATGATTTGTTGCCTTTTTTACATCGTGGGCGTTCAGTGGGTGTCAAATTAAAGTAATGTTTTTACTAAATTGATTTCTCCTGAAAGAATATAGAGATTAGATTGCTAATTGTAATTCTTGTAAATAAATGAGGACAATGAAAGATTAGGTTAAGTCAAAATCGTTAATTAACCAGGGTAGGGCCCTAAAACATCCTTGGGCCCGCGGTCTGCTCCCAACATCTGTAGAACGTTAAGTCTCATACCCAGCGTGCCCCCTAAGTGTGGACATCTCTTGTGAGGTTCGACACAATGCCCAAAAAAAACCACCAGACAGTGCTGATAAGTTGGCAGTTGTTTGATGCATAAGTTGGAAGATAATACTTATGCGGCAGATTGCACCTACTGCCACAGACAGCGTTCAATGCACATAGCATTTAAAGTCTCAATGCAGAATGCTTTAAAGAGCTCAATGCAGAACCGAAAAGAGACTGTGAATAAAAAAAGAAAGTTAAAATAAACCAATGCTTTTTATACAGTCTGTACATGACAAAGCTTCACAGCGGATCATAAGCGTCGCATTTCCAAGTCTGAAAGCACTTAATGAGATATAAATCTTTTTTTACACAAACCGAGCCGAGGATTTACAATGTTCGATGTTATTCTAACGAGCTTTCGTGGAGCTTATTGAAGGTTTTTCAGTATTGTATTCATTTATTGTGCAGCTATTTATAATACATTTAAAAAAAAAAAAAACACAAAGATACATTGCTGTTAGCTCCTGATAATTTTATTACCGTAATAAAACTCTTGGCCTATTTCTGGTAAAACAGATCCGATAAAATATAACAAACAAATCACGTTACTGAGTCGGTACACGTATGGGAAGTTTCTTCGATCCTGGGAATTCACGAGGTCGCGTTAAAAAGAGTCCAACCGAACTCGCGGACCCGGGATAAGTACGAAAGATGCTTTCATGTTCGGTTTGAATCAACTTTAAAACCTATGGTTAGCGTCAATGTGTGTTAACCTCTTAGCCCACTGAATTTCTCGCCGGATCTTCTCAGTAGGTCGCGTTTCCGATCTGGTGGCAGATTCTGCGAAGCACGGCTCTTGCGAGGGCCAGTGTTAGCAACACTCCCGGTTTGACCTCCGTGAGCTCACCCACACGTTAGCGCCAAGCTGAAATGGCCTCTCAAGGCTGATAGCATAGGGAGAGAAAATAAAGGTTAACCTCGAATATCAAAAATGGTAGGTAAAAATCTTAAAGGTTTAAGATTTCTAATTAATGTACATTTTTATGAAAGTCGTCTAGGCATATAAGATGAGAGCTCGGTGCATTCGTATCGAGCAAAGCGACTTAGCCGCTGTCCAAATCCCGCAGGAAACGAAAAACAAAAAAAAAAAACGTTCTGAACACATCTTCACGAATGACTTCCGCGATGAAGGAATAATCAAAAACGTAGTAAAAATCAAACCCTCGTTAATGGTAATTTGCATAATTTTTATTCAATAAGGACATTGACTTCAAGTATTGAAATTGGTGGGGGCATTTATGGCGGGAATCAGACTACAAGAGAATGATCGATTGATTGAGTTCAGTCAGTAGTGGTTCTGCGGGCCAACCCGTGGCTCTATTTCATGTCTAGTAGTCTACCTTCAGAGGCGCAGGAGTCTCACGTCATTTCGGATCCTCCCGATCCACTAACGGTGCTTTTAGCTACCTCAAGCACCGGTCATCGTTCTCGTCGAATCCGTCGCTTGCGACGAAGGGCTTGGCGAGTAAATTAACCCATAGACACAGCCCACTGAGTTTCTCGTCGGATCTTCTTAGTGGGTTGCGTTTCCGATTCGGTGGTAGATACTGCGAAGCACGGCTCTTGCTACGATCGGTTAGCAACGGCTAGTAACGTCGTCAGGTTTGAGCCCCGTGAGCTCACCTACTAGCTCGGCCAATCTAGAATAGCCCCTGGAGGTTACTAGAATAGGTCGGTAAAAAAAGGCCAGAATCCGATGCCCCATACGACCGGGTATCCGTAAATTTGATTCCCCAACGTAAAACATAAAAAGAAGTTTGAGACACACAGCGCAATATACAGCTGTGCCTCTACCCCCAATTTTTTCCATCCTTCTCTAACGCCAGCATTCGAAGAGGATGAACAATCTGTCAAGTTTCCCAAAGTTTGCCGAATGTAATATGAAATATACGCGCATAATAGCTACCGGGCGAGGACCGGCTAATTATCGGAATGCCCCACAGCCGTACGTACCTGCGGCCGGACTCTTGCGTTTAATTCACGCATTCCGATATTCTGAAAATTATACAGTTTTTGCTGTTACAGATGGCACCCAGTCCGGTCTTAGCTAGAATAGCCTCTTAGGCTACAAGCGATTAGGTAGGAAAAAATGCAGATCTCTCAAACGAAAATCTTAGATTAATCTCTCTTGAAGTTGAACACGTAGAGTGATTCCTGCATACCTTCAAAGAGAAGGACTTTTTATTTTATTGCCCTTGTAGGCAGACGAGTGCACGGCCCACCTGGTGGTGAGTGGTTACCGTCGCCCATGGACTTCAGTAATGCCAGGGGTAAAGCCAAGCCGCTGCCTACCGCTTAATACTCTCCACAAGTCTCGTTTGAAGAAGGACACGTCATAGCGCTTGGGAAACACCGTGGAGGGGAGCTCATTCCAAAGCCGGATGGTACGTGGCAAAAAATACCTCTGGAAACGCACTGTGGATGACCGCAGTGGCTCCAGAACTCTGCTCCGGTGGCGGGCGGTGCGATGGTAAAAACGAGATGACGATATCAATTCCTCAGAGCACTCCCCATGGACCCTCGATTTTTATACATAGAATATAGCTCGAAAGGCGATACTTATTAACCAAATACACATATGCACACACCGTAACGTGTTCCAATAAAAATCTAGACCAAAAACCCATTTACACTCCGAAATAGAGCTTACTCAATTATTATAAAATCTAGATTCGAACAGAACACTACAATTGTGTTCGTTGTATATAAATTTGAATACGACAGGTTGAAATATTGGATGCCTGCTGCATGTTTGTTTCGGGCGCTTCGTATTATAGTTATATATGTATATAAGGTGTTTTCCGAGCGCTATGACATGTCCTTCTTCAAACGAGGCTTGCGGAGAGTACTTTATGGTAGGCACCGGCTTGGCTCTGCTCCTGGCACTGCTGACGTCCATGAGCGACGGTGACCACTTACCATCAGGTGGGCCGTATGCTCGTCTGCCTACAAAGGCAATAAAAAAAAAAACAAAAAAAAAAATCGTGTGGAACCATTAATTTTTCAAAATTGAAACTAGAAATTACATCTTACCATAAAGTTTTAGTAGAAAAAAATACAATGTTAAAATAATTAATAGTATTAAGGTTTATGTTTATATGAAACTTATAGACAAAGTAAATGCCACCTTGTTCACCTTGAAATATGAGTTCTAAGGTCTCAATTGTAACAATACAACGACTGCCCCATCCTTCAAACCGTAAGGCATTACTGCTTCACGGCAGAAATAGGCAGCGCGATGGTACCTATCCGTGCGGATTGTAAAAAAATTAATTATTATTTCGATTTTAGATGCAACATTTATATGTTCAAAGAACCTAGTTGTAGTTATTGCTCTGAATCAGACTAAATCACACGTGATCAAAGCAGCAAAATCCCTTATTTCGTGAACATTACATTTGTAAAATATTCAGTGCTATTTAAATAATAAATCAACCTCCTCTTCAAAAAGGATTTTAAGTACTTTACGAGAACGCACTTACGTACTCAAATTAGGTTTGAAATTTGAATTTCATTAATGAAATTTATAATTGGTTTATTACAATAATATTTGATTTAACTTTTTTTTTCGAGGATAGAGGATGAAAGAACTAAATAGATATGGCAACAATTAGGCTTCATATTAAGGATTAGTATTAGTTGATACAAATGGAAACCAATATTCATTTTCTAGACAAATATAAATGCTTGTAAGTTCAGTAGTTCATGTCTCGTAAATTCATACTCGAAGAGAAGGTACATAAGGAAAAGTTCCGTCGTACAAGAACGATGACCCTGCCCTATTTTTTGGTGTTGCATTGCACGCTATACAAAACAAATTAAAATAGTACTATATGGGCTGGGATTCGGGATAGATACAAAAATCTACCGAAGTACAAGTTAGCACTGTATTTGCACTTAAAACACTTCACAAATACTTTAAAATTCTCAATTTACTTCGTCCGCTTCGCTTCAGGTGATCCGTTCGCTGTTTCGCTTCGAGTAGTTCCGACTACTGACTAATTGCGTGCCATTTCTACAACGCTTTTATAGCCGATACGACATCCCTAGAATCGTCGAGAACATTCCCCACAAGTCGAGTACCTTTGATATTCATTCCAATTCTCAGTATAAGGTGAGTTACATATAGACGTATTTGAAATGCGGTGTCAATTGACGGAAAGTACTCCGTATAGAATGAGCAAATACTTCGGTCACGTTGCTAGAAGAGGAGGATAATGGAACACGACTTTGCGAACACAGACCGATTCGTCCAATCTTAGCGACCCAATCTTATTTGATCTCGTTCGCGACGCAGTTTACCAGGTGAAAGAGCACAGCCCGTGTTAAGATTTGTAGCCGTACCATCCGGCTTTGGAATGAACTCCCCTCCACGGTGTTTTCCGAGCGCTATGACATGTCCTTCTTCAAACGAGGCTTGCGGAGAGTACTTTATGGTAGGCAGCGGCTTGGCTCTGCCCCTGGCATTGCTGAAGTCCATGAGCGACGGTGACCACTTACCATCAGGTGGGCAGTATGCTCGTCTGCCTACAATGGCAATAAAAAAAAAGATTATGATTAGATGTCATCCTCATTCCTAATGACATCAAAATGCGACAGGTTTCTATCATCGTAGCAGCGCGATGTGTATCCATCCGCACGGGTGTAAAATAAAATTGAATACTCACAGTTTAAATAGACGAATAATCCCTCCGACCTGCAACAAATCAAACCATACCATGAGAAAAAAAGTTTTAGTAAAACGCTTAACCCTTTGACTGCCATGTAGGTCACCGGTGACCTACGCGGCGCACTGAAGTACTTATATCGATTTTTGTTACAAATCGCCGGAATATCTAATAGAATCTGGGAACCCTAATAGATGTATCCGAAGATACTGAGGATGAATCTATTTTTAAGAGGCCTAAAATATTTTTGTTTTATTGCTTAGATGGGTGGACGATCTCACAGCCCACGTGGTGTTAAGCGGTTACTGGAGCCCATAGACATCTACAACGTAAATGCGCCACCCACCTTGAGATATAAGTTCTAAGGTCTCAAGTATAGTTACAACGGCTGCCCCGCCCTTCAAACTGAAACGCATTACTGCTTCACGGCAGAAATAGGCAGGGTGGTGGTACCTACACGTGCGGACTCACAAGAGGTCTCACCACCAATAATAAAAATACTAAAACATACTTTAGAATGCGAAAGAATGCAAAGTTTGGGCAATCCAAGCGCTTAGTAACAGAAATCGACATAATTACTTCAGTGCGTCACGTAGAGCACCGGTGACCTACACGACAGTCAAAGGGTTAAGATTACATCGAAGTACACTACTACTTCAAAGATTATATCTGCCACGTAACAAAAAAAAAGTATGGAAGTGTTAATTTAAAAAAGGTTTTGTAACGCACCCAGAAGACATCCCGCAATTATTACGCTAATTTATAAATTCTTCGGGTTTTATGTATCTATTTACTTAATAAAAAAATTTAAAATTTACTTCTAAGTATTTAAGAAAACATTTTTACAGCCAACAAACATTAGTAGTTATTAGTTGTAGTATAGTTATATAACCTAGACACCTACTGCAGCGCCATCTGCCGGGCTGATTTGTAAATCTAAACCCTCCAGGGCGCCACCCAAACGCATAGAAAAAAATCATTCAAATCGGTCCAGCCCTTTAGGAGTTCAGTAACAAACACACGCACAGAAGAAATATATATATAAAGATATACTATTAAAGATTAGCCAACGCGCACGGCAGGCAGCGGCTTTGGCTATGCCCCTGGCATTGTTGACATTCATGAACGACGATAACCACTCACCATCAGGTGGGCCGTATGCTCGTCAACCTACAAGGAAAAAAAAACACGAATCACGGTTTCATTTGGTCCGGGTTCATGACACTGTTAGTTCTAAGGCATATTTAAAGTCTGCAATATCTTAGTAGCATGTGTACCCGTTGATAGGTAAGGCAATTGCACTTATAACGCAATTGAGACTTCGGTGTTACTCCTCAAAATGAGCGGCGACACTGAAGTTGTGATGCCCATGGGCTCCCACAATCAACTCGACTCTACACCAGACGGGTCGTGAGCTCGACTGTGTATCTAAATGCAATGAACCCAGCAAGCCACAAAAACGATTATTCTGGACCGCTACAAAGACAAACATTCTAAACAAACTCCACACTGTCAGATACATATTCTCGTAACGAAGGCAATTGGGAACACACCCTTCAATTCCCCTTACGTGTAAATTTAATGATGTAGGTATGATGTAACGTGATTGCGAGGCGTAATTTTATGCAGCGACGTGCCATTTAATTGACGTCGAAAAAAAACAGACATGATATTGTATACGAGTGATTTGATTATGAGAGCACAATTTTGGATAATGAAATTCCACACTACAATTGGTTAGGTATCAAAGGTAAGAATTTCAGAACTGCTTAGAAAACAAAAAAAGAAGTCAAGTAGAAAGTGAAATTATCAAAAATCTTTCCTTAATGGCCAGTTTGTAGTCCCAAGTGACTCTGCGTTCATGAATCAATCAGGACTAATAATTTATTTATGTATAGTTGCAATATATTTGTTTAATATTTGTTTTCATAATAGCAACCGTCACAAAATAAGGTAAGCTTCTTCTTACACTACACTTACTATTTTATTCATACACAAAACAACAAATAATATTTTAATCGAAAATTCTGTATTACTACAGTACGTATGAAACTGAGAATCATCGCACGAAGCCAATTAGGGTGAGCCCTTAGAAATGTGGACCCGACCCGTTGAGATATTATCTTTGCATGATTATTGCACGTACACATGTAATATGTAAGCACATATGTGGAACTTTACGAGTTTGGTCGGCGGTTTTCATCGAATCGATAAGTGACTAAAGCCATATATAATTGATGCCAAATCAAAACATACCAAATGGTGAATAATATGTTTTTTATCGACTGTAGACGCCTTAACGCCAGTTTAAAAAGCGGTACATGGACAAAGTCGGGTCAGGCCGGTAATCGTAATCGTCGAACTCAGCAGTGTTCATTCGACATGCAACCTAACATAAAAATCAGCCCGCTAAGTTTCTCGCCGCATCTTCTCAGCGGGTCGCGATTCCGATCCGGTAGTAGATTTATTCGCGAAGCAGCTATTCTTGAGTTGTTAGGTCTCTTCTGGAGGCGCTCGGATAGCTGTTTACAAATCCCACCTCTCCTGGCTGAGCCCTTGCTCGCCCATCTGTTCTGGTAAAACTGGAAAGGCCTCCGGGCCATCAGTAATCAATCAAACATAATTAAAAACAAAGAAAGAAAAAAGGGTCAGTCAGAACGAAACTGTCGGTAAACTCTGTTATTGTGTAAATTATCTATTGAAAGTTTCAATATTTATTATTCAAAAGGTTTTATTGAATTTTATGGCGATACTCAGTTCCACCAAATACGAATGATAACGGTACTGCCGCTCAGCCATCCCTGGCGCCCACACATTTATCAGTGCACATAAAAGAGTCGTACAAGTTTAATTGTCGATATTATAATCACTGATAGTACCGTAAACATTGCTGTGGGAGTCGCTCAAAGTAAATAACAGCGTTTAAGGAAAAGTAAAAATATATATTTATTTCAGCACGTCTTGTTATTCACCCTTATAATGCCCGATCGCCATCTTTACTTTTTATCCTCCTTCTCTTTCTTGTCCATACATTCATCCCTTTTACTCTAAACGTTCCGTTTCCCACATTCATTACCAAAATTTTGATTAATTTTCGGCAAATTCTCTTATTTTGTTCAAAAGATCAACTGTCAGGTCACTGTTGAAAAAAAGGCTGTTTCCAACATTTATATTAGCTAATAGCCAAACAAAATATAACGAAAATCGGTTAACAAACAGAGGAGATAAATGTAATGAACTATTTTTTCTTTACCTTTAAAAACACAATACATTTGATCCAAGCGAACCAAACCATATTCATAGCTTTAGAGAACGATTGTACCCCTTCTGTTTTGATTACATATTTAAAAAAAATATAGAAAAAACAATATCAAATTCTACTTATTAAAACATAATATTAATATATGTTAAAATATTTAATATTGTTTTTAGCACGTATTTTTCAAAATGTTGATCATATATTACTACATACGTTTTCCATTTCATATGGAATGAATTTACTTATGTTTAAAAATTTAAATGAAATTTAAACTCTTTATTTTCCATATAATATATTTTTATATAAAATGAAGCATAAATATTGAAATAAATGGAACTTGTAAAACAAATGTCAACCGATCTGTTTGTTTTGCTTTGTAAAGTTTCTTACACTCAAAACAAAGGCATTAAGTACCTAAGTCCTAAGTAATAGTACAGTAGAATTTTGTAACTTTTCGAAAAAATTGTATTCAATTTATTTTATTACAATACACGCTATATTGCGTAAACTGTATTCAGTTTGTGAACGGGTCAACGACCTCGAGGTCATTTTTACTAAACTACCTTCTAATCATCGTTTTGAATCGCTAAAAGTTTTTCTTGAGCTTAGCGAATGAATGTCGTGAATGACATTTCCATAACACCCTGTATAGTCAGAACGTTTGCTACAATCACGAATCAATACTCAGTCGAGGTTCTACGTCCGATAAATTCGTGCCAATTTAACCAATAAATCATAGCGAATCTCGCTTTATCTGAGTTCCCTGTGGATACGTCATCAAAGCGAACTCAAACATACATTAGCCTTTAGGGCACGTTCCCCGGAACACCGAACTCTCATATCATCGTTATGAACGATAACTTTTATATTGATCCTTATTGAGAAACTCTTCGAATTGTACTTTCCTGAGGTTTTTAGATGTTCAAAAAGTTATTTAAAACTTCTATCAGACCATTGTGTTTTCGTAGTCACCGCCGACTAATGTCCTAGTGTGTTCGTAAATAATTTTACTAAAGCAAAATAATGCATATGGACTTGAGAAGAAGCGGTCAAGCATTTATTTTTAGAACACCGAAACCTGTGTAAGAAAATTCTTTCGTCAGAAATATGTACCAGAGTAGCGGCCTACTATGGTCACTGACAGTCACCAACACACAGTCTATTTCCGGATATTTTAGGGGCCCTAGACATCAAATGACTCCCCTTGTATTTTCTCAGCCGAGAATCCGCTGTGACCAAAATCAGAACCGGGCAGAGAGCGGAGGTTTCAGCGGTCAACACCACAACTAGACTTGCGGCGCCATTCTGAGGTGGCTTAAGGCGTTAGTCGACGACTCTAGGTCGTCTATCACAGTACCGCAGCCCGTCAGGTCGCCCCAGGATGTGCTGCTTGTGTCTCGAAATACCCCGCTAAACCAGCCTGACAGGCCGGAACGCTGTACATCGCCAACCAGTTTCTCTTCCAACCAGATTCGAAGAACTACTGTCATGCAGTGCACTGAAGTGCCGGTAGCGCTCCGCACGACCTTACCCTTCCTGGTCGTCCGTAACCTTCACTGGGCAGGAGGTCATCCCCACAGAGCCGAAGCCTTTTTCACAGACAGACCAGTGCTGAGAGGGATGAGCTCTCCCTCTTTCGTTCCACCACCTCCTTCTGCGAGATGGTGAACTCGCAGAAATCGAACTCACCTCCCAGGATTTGTTGCTGACGAGAATCGTCACCACGACGGTCGGTAGCGTCAAGGTTCTATTTGCGACCTTTTTGCAAGA